GCATAGGGCATCCTAGCAGAAAAGTAGTCGGTGGTCTAGGGTAATGAGTAAAGCATGGGAAAAGGGCAGTTAGTAAAGATTCTGTACGCCCATGCTCCTTTAGAGCAGTGAGGACTTAAGATATTTTATCTTAGATATGTGGCATCCTTATTAAAATCAAGTATCAAAATTAAGAAGATAATTCCAAAAAGCATAATAGGAAGTTGTTTATAGTTTGCTACATGGAGAAGGGAAGGAAGGAAAGAAGAATTCGGTTTGAGATGTTCTAATACTGAGGTATCTGCATGTTAATAAGAAAAGTATAATAGTGATCTAAGCATAGGTTCAGAAACATTTACAAGGTTTACAACTTGTAGTTTACAAGTATGTATTTTCTGCTGTTTTAACAAAAATCCAGAAATCCCTCTCTTACTCATAATACTTCAAGTTGCACACACACTCTAGCACATGACATGGTGGGAAGACACCCAACCTTTAAGAATTCCTACTTGCAGGATTTGACTATACAATCATACTGCTAAAAAGTGGATGAAATGACTTACTTAGTATCAGTTATTAATAACTTTATTAACAAGTATTAAGATACTTCATCTTAGTATCAGTTAAGATACTTCCCTAACAGAAAAACATTTAAATTTAAAAATGGATTTGCAAACTCACATTTAATTACCATCTAACAAATCCTTCAAGCAAGAAAAACAAAATCCTACCTTCCAAAATCAAGTGGCCAAAAAGACACTAATTTAAAACTAAGACTAAAACCTGAAATGTTTTGTCCTGGGAGAAAAAGTTAGAAAATTAACTACAAATTAAGAAAATGGCTATAGAAATTTGTATCCATTAGTTAAGTAGAGATTTCATATATTAGGAAAATACAGAGGAAAACCATTCCAGGGCTCTCGTTGGTCAGTGGCTCAAGTTTGAGTTTACCTCTGGCTACCAAATTATAGACTTCACAAGTAGCTTGCAGCTGGCATTAAATGATACTAGTATCAATCCAATTCTAAAGTCCATGTTTACCTCACATCCAGACAAACACAACTACTCCTTCAGAATCTTTAAGACAGAAGTTTCAGCAGGCTTTAGTCTAAAAGTAATCATCAGTATTTTGTTATTCCTAAAATCAACCACTGGTGCTACAATTATTAAAAGAAGGCATGGCCTGTGGCTGTGTAGTCCATGCTGCACTTATTCATCTGTTAAGAGTAGTACTAGGCTTCCAGAGTTGTCATTAGTAAACAGATCACAACTCACAAATCAACGAATAGCTTGACGCCAAGGTGTTCTAACACTCCATCACTGCAACAGACTCAAGAAACAAAAATGCGCCCTTTTGGCCATCTGATTTCTCCTTGAAATGTCAGCTGTCTCAAACCAATAGATGTCTGTCCACTATGTATGGGGGGGGGTGGTAAATGCAGTTCTCAAGTAGTGGTTAAAGTCTCCCTAGGTTCAACCCTTAGCCTGACGCGGCCTGATGCCTTCCTATCATCAAGAGCTTGTAATCAGATACACTTTACAAAAAGCGTGGAGGGACGGAAAAAGGGCAAATCTTGCCACTGACTTACTTCATTAAACAGAAAAGACGTCTCAGGCCTTCTTTCTCGCCCGGCCAGGTCGGCGCCCACTCCGAAGGCTGCGAGGCGAGGCCCCCAGCGCCCGCACACCCCCGCCCGGGATTGGCCAGCCCCGCAGTCACTCAGCACCGACACGTCAGGGCAGCCGCTCCCTCCCTCCTCCCGCCCCCTTCTCCCCGCGCTTGGCAAGAAAAGCGGGCAACGTGGAGCGGGAACAAAGGACCCCGCGGCCCACGGCGATCGGGGACTCCGTGCCACCCTACTCCAGGCCCAGGGCTGGCTGCCCGCCCACACGCACCGGGTCCCGGGAGCTCTTACAGAAGAGAATCCCACACCCCAGGCAAACCCCATGGCTAGGCGTCCGTTCCTGACAGCAAGAACACGGAGTCCCGCGCCCTCCTTCCGGCGGGTCATCCCTGCCCCTCGGCGCCCTAACCCAGGCCCCCTAAAGCCCTTCGAGCAAAAAAATCTCGTTCCTCCCAGCCTGCCTCCCCCGCGCCGGTGTAGAAAAGGGGCTCGAGCCTCCGCGCTCTCCGAGGCGCCCGCCCTCGGCCGCCAACGCGACTTGGCAACCATGGCAGCGCTGGAGCGCGGGCCCAGCGCCGCGCGGGCTTCACGTCCCAGAGGGCGACGGCGGCGGCCGTTTGGGGGTTCCTCCCCTGACGAGGACACCGCTTCCGCGCCTCCCACCCTCTTCCCATCAGCCGGCGCCATCCCCTCATCTCGGATTCCGGCCGCGCCCTCTCGCTCAACTGCAGTTCCTAGAACCAGAACATATTACCTGGTTCATCTCTGAAGAGATGGAAACATTCATCTCCAGAGCTTCGACGGGAAGCAGGAGGAAGCCGGCGGGAGTCGGCCCAGAGAAAGCGCCAGGAGGCGGCGGAAGAGGGGAGCGGTCAAGTAGAAGGACGAGGGGCCACTCCGTGGAGACTGAGGAGCGGGAAAGCTCCACCGAAAAATCGCAGGAACTCGCTCGCTCACCGACACGGCCGCGCCGAAGCAGCTGGCGGAGAAACTGCGCCCAGCAGCTCCGAGCAACCGACCTCCACGCGCGACCAGGAGACACTGCCTCTGCCGCCGCCGACTGCTCGCGCCGCACCCCCTCGCACGTCACCACGTGCGCCGCCGCCACCAACACCTCCCAGCCTGCTTCCGGCTCGAATCCGTCTGCGAATCACAGGCGAGCCCCATAAAGATCCAGCTCTAGGCCCCGCCCCCGTCCGCCGCCCGGCTCTCCTCCCGCTCTGCCCTCCTCCCTCGTTGGCTCGGGTTCCTTCCTTCTCGGTGCAACTAGGTCAGCGCAAGGTGATTCTGGGGAGATAGGCGGCGCTCGGGGGGCGTCCTCGTTCGTTTTCGCGCCTTAGTCCCTCCCTCCGTTCGTAGCCCCGCACCCTCACTTCGCCCAATGCGTTGCCTGTCCCGGAACTGGTTCCCCTCCAGCCGCCCTCACCTGTTCTGACTTCCCCTTGAGGCACAATAGCCTGAGAGATCAGATGAGGGAGATTAGATTGCTCGGCGTCAGACCTACTTCTAACCAACCGCTCTAGACTGAAGCTGCCCGCCGTGGACATTAGGATCTAGTTGGGCATCATCAGCCCTTATATTTGAAATGGAGGGGGAGGTAGCTTGTGCAGGGAGGAGGCGTGGAGAGTGTGAGGAAGAAGGGAGGCACTCTGAGAAGTCGAACAACTAACTCTTCCTTTTGCCTGATTTGGGTGAGAAGATTGAGTCACTTGGGGAAAACAAAAAACAATTGGAGAAGTCAGAGAAGGTATAATACTATCAGTGGTGCCACAAACACCAGTTTACTTCCACTTTTCACGCCGCGGGTTTGTTTTGTCTGCCTGCAGCTCTTCTCTTGTTGGAGACGCTGAGTCAGTTCTTTACTGATCTTGCCCTCTTCCGGAAAAAGAAAACAGGGCTGAGAAGTGATAGCTCCTATCCTAACCTCCTGGGGCCTTTCAGACCAGGTGCCGAACTTCATTATCCACCCCACCACCTTCCCCAGGAGGGAGATCTTTGAAAGCGAAACGTGATTTAAGCTGCGATATAGCAGCGGCTTCGTGAACTGAAGGGCATGTGGGAAACATTTTTTTGATTGAAGGTGAGGGATTTAGTGAGGTAAAATTATATCCAAATTAGAGTTTGGTAAAGGTTTCCACGTTAATGTCCTGTTAGGTTTATCCTGATTTGTAGAAGGCAGTTGAGCTGTCCAGGCCTAACCTTGTGTTTGATCACTCACCTTAATTTGTAGACATTCTAGGAGCTCTTGGTCACTGCTTCCTACCGTTTTTATCATTACCTATTTATGCTTATCAAAGCAGAAAAAATAAATTTGGTGAGCCTTCATCTGCAATAGAAGGTTTACAACTTTGCATTCTAAATTCTTGAGGCAAGGAGACTGATTCCTCCTTTTTTTCTCACAGGTTTCTTGCATGTCTCCCCGCGACAATTCAATTGGAGGAGGAAACAGGAACCAAGATGTCTATTAGTGTGATTTTTATGTATTTCTTAAGGAGAAAAAGACTGACATTTGACACTGAGCCCTTGTTTTGTCTCACTGATAAGAACTGACAGCAATGTTTACTTTGATTACAAATGAAATGATCAGGGTACATACCTTTTAAGCTCTTTTAATACAGTGGGTTTCATCCTTCCAATGGAAGGGCATGAATTGCCCACTCTGGGTAGGCACATGACTGTGTGGCCTGTTGGACACATGGTCTCACTTGGTGTACTCTAAATAGTGCCTTTGTGACTTCAAACAGTCAACACTTTTCTTAAAGCTACAGTGTGCCCACACTCATTGTATTTTTGCTTTGTATGGAATTTCAAATTTACTTATTACCTTCTCTATGAATAACGGCATAATTTATGCTGTTTGCCTTCCAGGGAACCTGATGGTTAATTTCAGCCTCTTAAAGTTACAAAATTCGTTGTAAGATTCTGCTCTTGATATAGTGGTCTTCCTTATTTTTGGTTTCATTTTCCAACATCCTGTCAACCATGGTCCAAAAATACTATGTCACTACTCTTGCATTTGGGGGGTATCATACCTAAAATGAGAGTTATACGAACACAAGCACTATCACACTACAACAGTCTGACAATCCAGACAGCAGCTGGCTAATGGCAGTCTGGGCAGGGACAGAGCAGACTGTGCTCAGAATGGTGCACAATGTAAAATTTACGAATCGTTTATTTCTGGAATTTTCTATTTATGTCACAATACTTATGTCATTCACCTCACTTCATCCCATCACATAGGTATTTTATCTCACTTCACAAGAAGGAGAAGGGTGAGTACAGTACACTAAGATGTTTTGAGAGAGAGACCATTCATAACTTTTATTACAGTATATTCTTAAAATTATTCTATTTTATTCTTCTCTTTTTTTTTTTGAGATAGAGTTGCACTCTTGTAGCCCAGGCAGGAGTGCAGTGGCACAGTCTCGGCTCACTACAACCTCCGTCTTCCAGGTTCAAGTGATTCTCCTGCCTCAGCCTTCCAAGTAGTGGGATTACAGGCACCTGTCACCACACCTGGCTAGTTTTTGTATTTTCAGTAGAGATGGAGTTTCGCCATGTTGGCCAGGCTGGTCTTGAACTCCTGATCCCGGGTGATCCGCCCCACCTTGGCCGCCCAGTGTTGTGATTCCAGGCATGAGCCACAGCGCCCGGCCTGTTCTATTTTATTAGGAGTTATTGGTGTTAATCTCTTACTGTGCCTAATTTATAAGTGAAACGTTATCATAGGTATGTATGGTATAGGAAAAAACAGTGTATTTAAGGTTCGATACCATCTGGGTCTTAGGACATACCCACCAGGGATAAGGGAGTGGGTGACTACTGTACTTAGGTAAGATTTATGTGGAGAGTGCTTAACAAAAATAAAAAGTATGAATTTCTTGACAACCTATCTTGTGTCAGCTCCTGAGAAAGATAAGTTAGGAATCGGTGTCAGTCTGCCGTCTTTTCATTGTTCACCCTGATGCTGTTTCAGATGTCTCCATTCTTAACTCTGACTTGTGTTTTGTTTGTTCTTGATGTATTAGCTTGCTAGGGCTGCCGTAACAGACTGGGCAGCTTGAACAACAGAAATTGGCCAAGCACGATGGCTTGCACCCATAATCCCAGCCACCGGTAGTGGGGAAAGGATCACTTGAGCCTGGGAGTTCAAGACTGCAGTGAGCTATGATCGTGCAGCTGCACTCAGATAGGCAACAGAATAAGACCCTGTCTCTAAAACAAACAAACAAACAAAATCCTCCAGAACTTTATTGTCTCACAGTTCTGAAGGCTAGAAGTGTCGTCAGGGCTGTATTCCCTCTGAAGGCTCTTGGCCACTCTCCTAACTTCTGGTAGTTCCTTGGCCTGTCAACATAACTCCAGTCTTCACATGATGTTCTCCCTGTCTGCCGGTGTTGTTCAAATTTTCCCTTTTCGAATGGACACCAGTGTTAATTGGATTAGGGGCCCACCCTACTCCGGTATGACGTCATTTAAATGAAATCTGCACTACTCTGTTTCCAAACAAGGTCACCATACTAAGCGAGGTACTGGGGGTTAGGACTTTAACATACAAACGTTGGGGGAACACATTTCAACTCATAAAACTTTAGTTCATTGTTTCTTAAGTGTGGTCCACTGACCACATTTGTTGGAATCACCTGTGTTTTCTTACTAGAAATGCAGGTCCTGAGGCTTTACGCTAGACTATTTCCCCTGGGGAACTTTTGGCAATCCCTGGAAACATGACTGGGGGAGACGTTCTACAGGTATCTAGTGGACCTGGAATGCTGCTGAACTTCCTATAAGGAACAGTATCCCACAATAACAAAACATGATTTCACCGGCCAGGCGCAGTGGCTCGCACCTGTAATTCCAGCACTTTGGGAGGCCGAGGCAGGCAGATCAAGGTCAAGAGATCGAGACCATCCTGGCCAACATGGTGAAACCCTGTCTCTACTAAAAAATTCAAAAATTAGCTGGGCATGGTGGTGTGCACCTGTAGTCCCAGCCACTCGAGAGAACCCAGGAGGTGGAGATTGCAGTGAGCCAAGATTGCACCACTGCATTCCAGCCTGGCGCCTGGTGACAGAGCAAGACTCTGCCTCAAAAAAAATAAAAAAATGATTTCACCTAAAATATCACTCGTGCCACGATTAAGAAACCGTGTCCTAAAATTGGTAAGTCTAGTCTCTGGGAAAGTGGCCTGGAAACCTACATTTTGACAAACATCCTAGCATCTTGTACCCCTGCTAAAGCCAGAAAACCACCGCAATTACAAAAGCCTTTTCTAGGCATGTGAATATGCTCCATTTCTCCTCAGATCTTAGTCGGTTCTCTTAGTTATTAACCATGCTAGTGATGATAAGCTGATTTCATTCAATATTACTACTTAGCAATTCAGTTTACCAGTCATAGTCTTAATATTAAGTTGGAATCTCATTTACATTTTAAAACTTCTATGCCACATCACATTATTTTTGATCAACTGTCTGCATTTTCTGGGTGGCATTTGCCTGATGAAAAACTGTTGCCAATTTGTGACTTGGCAAAGAAAACAATGTTTTGCCTCCTCCAGTCTGCTAGTTTCTCCTATGCTCTAAGTGACTGACTTCTGTTTCATACATTTCTTTCATCCCTTGGAGTCAGTGCTGCTGTTCTCAATTTTCTTTCTCTTCTTCCCTTACAGCACTTGAAAATATTTTTAGGGTATATTAATGGTGTCTTAAGAGCTGAAACAAGAAAATGGTAGTGTCATAAAAGGCACAAGAAGCCTAGGGAAAAATCTGAAAACGTCCATACTTACTTCCACTAAAGTAGGTCATTGGAAAAGTGTTGCAATGCATAACAAATTGAGAACTTGATGCCGCTGTAAAAAAAAAAAAAAATGGTTTTTTAAATTAGTTTCCCTTTCAGAGAAAATCTTCCATTTTCCAGATAAGGCTTCCATAGATACCTCATCAAAATAAGGCAAACTGTGATTACTTAAAAAAAAAAAAAATCCAAGGATTTGGGCAAAGTGGCACCTGCCTGTAACTCCAGCTACTTGGGAGGCTGAGGTGGGAGGATCTCTTGACCCCAGGAATTCAAGACCAGCCTGGGCGATGTAGACAAGCCTGAGACCCCCTTCCAAAATATAAAAAAGAAATCAAGGTTTATAATTCTCCAAATACGCACCTCTGAATACTTTAGTCTTGAATTATTTCTACCAGCTATTATGTTATCTAAGCAAACTATTTTACTAATGACTTTTTGCTAGTTTTCTAAAGTAATTACTGTTAAAGTTTTTGAGAACAATTTTATCCTCCTCATCCAACAACCAGGATTCCCTAATAGTTTCTTTTCTTTCAACAGTTTCTTAGGAATTAAAACTTCTTATGTCATTCAAATATGTATCCCATAACATAGTATAAACTTCAAGCCTGCTCTGTCTTTGGATGTGTCATATTCGGCCATGAACTCTGATGGATAGCCTGGGCTTAAATTAAAAAAACTTATTTTTTAATCAACTTGATTGCTGAGAATAAGCAAGGCATGGTATAAGCAGCCTTTATACTAAGTTGTTTTTCATGTAGTCACTAAATCAAATGTGTAAACAGAAGTGTGGTCACCTATAGCACAGTCTGTACAGTTCAGTTCAGAGAGAGATCTTTTGTAGCGATCACATTCAAAACTGAATACCTGGTGAATGAAAGTTACCCAGTGTAATTCAGTTGGACTATTCAGGAAGCAGTGCTTCAGGAAACAACAACAAAAAGAAGAATAATTCAGTTGGACTAGCTAGCCAACTGTTGCCTGTGTAAACTGATCACTCAACTCCTTCAATGAGAAAACAAGAAAGGACAGAGCAGTTGGTTGTAACATCAGTTCTCCTTTCTTGTATACTATTTCTTATTGTCTGAAGAAGAGCAGAGTGAAGTACAAGGAGAAAATGATGTTTTACAAGAGTCGAGTGAACTGGGCTTTCTTTTTCCTTTTTGACACAGGGTCTCATTTCAGTCACCCAGGCTGAAGTTCAGTGGCACAATCATAGTTCACTGCAGCCTCAACTTCCCTGTAGCTGGGACTACAGGTGCATACCAGCATGCCTGCTAATTTTTGTATTTTTTGTGGAGACAGGGTTCTGCCATGTTGCCCAGGATATTCTTGAACTCCTGAACTCAAGCAGTCTACCCACCTCAAGTGCTGGGATTATAGGTTTGAGCCAGGGCGCCCAGCCTGAATTAGGCTTTCTAACTAAAAATGATGGAAAGTCACAAAGCTGTTAGCTAGAGGTTCCTGCCCCTTGAGAGTAATTCCTCCCTGCTGTACTACTTCAAAATCGGTGCCAAAATTGGGGAAATAATTGTTGAATGAAATGTTTTCTTTCCCAACCATCTCTATCATCTTACTAAAGAGAAGAACATGAAAGGAAAACTGTTGTGGCAACATATTCTACCAACAGGCCTTATTGGGTCACTATGCCTGAGTCACCCTCGTCCCAAAATAGCACTTCTTTGTTCTCAATACTTTGCTCCTGTCCTTTTAGACCCAGTCAGTACCTTTTCATTTCAAAGGAGTGGGCCAGTATAATGGAAAGAATGCTAGACTTGAGGCCTAGTTCAGATCTTGGCTGTGTAACTCACCTACCTAAGGCTGATAATCTTGTCTTCTTGGTGATTATTTTCTAATCTTTAAAATGAGAGCAATAAAACTTATCTCACAGAATTAAAGTTGGTGCAGACATTTATTTCTAATGGCAAAAACTGTAATTACTTTTGCACCAACCGATAACATACTTGGCATATAGTATTATGAGTAAATATTTGTTTACTTATTTATTGTAAGGCTTCCTCCAATTATGTCAGCATATATGGCTTTTCTTCCAAATCTGTGAACCCCGACACATCATTAGTAACACTTATTTGATACTTAATCCACCGCAGGGTATTTTTATACTTACAAATTTAAGAATTAAGTGATTAGAATCTTTGAGTACATGGCAGCAACCTAGACTCCTAAGTGGGCTGTGCCTCTGACCTCAGAAGTGTTGGATGAATTAATGTCATAATCATTTGTACCTCTTGTAGCTCTCTCTGTTAATAGGAAGCTGTTGTGGGAATGGAAAGGGAACCCTGTTTTGCTTTGTGCTTATCTCTGTGGGGATAAAGACCATGGTTCATTTTGCATCTCACCATAGTTCCTATCATAGTATTTTTGCACATAATTTTTGTCTTCTAAAAAAATAGATGAATCAAACTTTGAGAGTGATTTTCTTTATGTCAATTGAGTAGGAAGTTTTCTCTTCTGCAAAGGACTAATATTTTCTTTGCTTTTAAGGGGAACCTGTCAAATTTTAAAATGATTTCTTCAAGAACTTACAGTGTCTTCAGTGATTTAAGAGCTACCGAATCATAAAACTTTTATTACTTTTACTCTATCTGGAATTAATTTATGGATGCACAATTTGCATGTGAAATATAAATGAAAGAGAAAAGTCTTTCAATTTACAGACATTTTTTAAATGTACCAGATTGTCTACTGGGAAATTAGCTTCATTAATTGGCCACATTGTCACTACTGTATATAGACATTTCTAGATAATCTCTTATTGGTCTCACTAGGTTTAAAGCATGATGCCCCCACACCCGAAGAATCCACAGTGGAGACATGCCTTCAGGTCTACATCAGAATAGCCAGTTACATAGGTTAAGAAAATCCTAAAAGAGATCAAAGAACCACGGTCATTTCTTTGCCATACTATACCACTTTATACTTAAAGTGGTCTAAAGAATGAAATCGAAGTTATTGAAAGGTTAGGCCAATCAGAATGAATTGAAAGTGTCCGACCTACCCTCTGCGGGAAGACTGAGCTCGTTCGGAAAAAACCGGACCGCAGGCTAGAGGAAATTCCTTAAGTTCAGGCTTTATTGAGAGGAAAGAGCCTCCGGGCGGACCAGCCGGGACGAAAAGGAAAAATGGCCGCGCCGCTCAGAGGGGCAGGGTTGTTTTATAGGGGGCTGAAGGGCTGGGGGGTGGGGAAGCCAAAAGCCGAGGTGGTGGGCAACTGTTGGTCAGTTTGAACTGCTGGGCGGGAAGCTGGGCGGCGGGAGGGCTAGGGCCGGTATGTAAAGTGAGAGATAAGGGAGCCTCTTTGTGGGGGAGGGAAAGAGAGAGAGATTTTGCGGTAGGGGCAGAGTTTTCCAAACATTCCCGACTCCTTAAAGAAAAGAAAAAGAGGGGGTCAGGGGCGTCGGTTGTCTCTCTGGCTACTTCCTGCTGACAAGGGTCGACGAGGGGTTCTGAAGAGGTTTCTTTTCCTAAGGAGCCTGGAGGTTTGGGGAGAGGTCTGTTTCTTGCACTCGTTCAGGGTGGGGTTGGAGCAGCATCTGGTGGATGGTGACTCCAGTCAGTTCTTGAAAGAGCCGCTGTAGGAACTGGAGAAAGCAAGGAGCAATAAGTAAGATTAGGCAAACGGCTATTAGGGGCCCAAGCAATGGTGACAAGAGGGTATACATAGAGGAAGACCACCACGCTGTGGCTTCAGCCGAGAACTTCTGACTCTACAGGTTAGTTTTGAGTTTCTGGAGGCTCTCGATTCGGGTTTCTACTAGGCCGGATTCATTGATGTAGTAACAGCACTCTTCTTGTAGGAAGATACAGGTCCCTCCTCGTTCAGCAGTGAGCAGGTCCAGGGCTCTTCGGTTCTGCAAGGCAACTTGGGCAACTGAGGTGATCTGTCATTGGAGTGATGCTAAAGACTCAGTAGAGTCATTAATAGCCGCTTGGAGTTGTGAGGTCAGTCGGGCTATGGCCAGGTGAGAGTGGACTAGTGCCCCTCCTCCTAATCCTGCTGCAAGTGCTGAACCAGCAAGGGAGACTCCAACGGCAATGGGTAGGAAGGCAGCTCATCGGGTGCAGCGATGGGGAGTTTGCAGCATCTGGAATTCGGCTGGGGAATATATAGTGAGTCAAGGGACTAGGGTTACTGGGAGGCATAAAAGAGATGAGGAAAGGCCAATGTAGAGAGTTTTTGTTAAGGTCTTGTTACACCCGAAAAACGTTCCTCGTGGGGCTGTTATATTAGTGGTTACCCGTATAGTTCTGTTACAGCTAGGGACGTTTCGGCCTAGGGAATGTGGGGTTTGGTAGGGGATACTTGGGGTCCCATCGCTAGGGACGTTTCGGCCTAGGGAATGTGGGGTTTGGTAGGGGATACTTGGGGTCCCATCGATTCCCATGACTAAGACCTGGGAAGGGGTGAGATGGCCAGAATAAGAAGGAAGAGCGGAGTAGGTAGCCCCCATGTCTTGTGACCCTAGGCTCGGCGAGGGTAACCGGAGTCGGAAAGCCAGGGCCCCGCTAGTCATCTAGCAGCCCTAGTAGACTGGGGAACGGAGCTCCCTCGGAGGTCGGTTCCTGGCAAGCAGGCTCCTCCATACTGAGGGTGACTGCCGGCTGTGTAACACCAGTGTGTCTGTTTTGAGGAACCGGCACCCTGGGGAAGCTGGGGCAGTCTGACTTCCAGTGTCCCGGGAGCCGACAGATAGGGCAAGGCTTAGTTGGTGGCCATGGTTGTGGACAGGCTCGGGACCAGTGTCCTTCCTTTCCACATTTGAAACATGCCCCTGGAGGGGCATGGGTTTCGGCCTTGGGCTTCTGGTTCCCTGCCGGCCTTAGAGCCGCCACTAGGGCTTGGGTCTGGAGGGCAGCCTTCTGCTTCATGCGAGTTTGGCGGGCAGCCTCAGCCGCATCTTCCCTGGCATTGAATACTTTAAAGGCCATTTTTACCAGGTCTTGGATGGGAGTCTCTGGCCCCTCTTCTGCTTTCTTTAGTTTCTTTCTTATGTCGGGTGCTGATTGGGAGATAAAATGGGAGGCTAATACAGTGGCCCCATTTTGGGAGGCTGGATCTAGTCGAGTGTACCGGACTAGGGCTTCTTATGTTTGAGTGAGGTATTGGAATTCTTTAATATAGGTGGACGGGTTGGCTGAGAAGGATCCTAAACGTTTCTCAATTTGGGACAGGTCTTGGAGTGAGAAAGGAACATGGACCCTGATTAAACCTTCTGCGCCTGCTACTTCTCGGAGTGGGGCCAGGATAGCTGGCTGGTGGGAGCGGGTGTGGGCTGCCACCGGAGAGGCAAGAGGAAGTGCAGCCTCTGAGGGAGGGGGCTCGGAGGGAGTAGAGGGAGAGCGAGGCATGGCCTCTGAGGTAGGAGGTGCAGAGGGAGTGGGGGAAGGGCGTGCCGTTGATGGCGAGTGGTTGCTGAGATTGGCAGGAGAGGACAGATGTTCAGGCAGATCCTCCGGTGAGGAGTAGGGAGGGGGAGAGGTAGTGGAGGAAGATTTATGGGGGGTTCGAGATAAGAGGATTTGGTAGGTGGAGCAGGAAGAACATAGGTTGGGGTGGGTACGGAGGTCCCAAAAAGCCTGGACGTAAGGAATTTCATTGTCCTTGCCCGCGCGGCGACAAAAATCGTCGAGATCTTGGAGGGTGTTGAAATCAAAAGTGCCAGTCGGGGGCCAACGTGACTGGTTACTGAGTTTGTATTGGGGCCAAGCCACCTGGGACAGGAAAACAAGCTTTTTCTTTCTGAGGGTTTGGGAATATCCCAATTTGGTAAAATTTCGCAGCAAGCACCCGAGGGGGGTGCTCAGAGGTATTTTGGACTCCGAATTTCCCATGGCAGGCGCAGCTACAGACTCTCCGGCGCGGATGGGCAGATGCAACGAAAAGGCGTCCCCGTTCGTTGCAAATTCCCCGGAGTACAATTAAGTACGGAAAGGGAAGCGGTCAGAGGGGCGTCCCCCGTCTGGCGGCTGTCCCTCGGAAGGCTCCTGGAGCGGGAATGGAAGACTACCTTGGCTCGGCCGAGACTAGGCAAGGAGTCCGTGCGGAACGCCGGAGGGAGCAACTGCACCATGCCGTAGGAAGAGGAGACGGGAAGCGGGGGAAGGCAAAGCAAGAAAAACTTGGCTTACCTTAATCGGAACGTGGAGGTGGCAGGGCCAGTGTTGGGTAGGTCGGGGAGGGGGGCCGTGGCCGGGCCAACGGCCCCAGCTCCCGTCCCGGGTTTCCGGCACCATTTGTCCGACCTACCCTCTGCGGGAAGACTGGGCTCATTGGGAAAGAAACCGGACCGCAGGCTAGAGGAAATTCCTTAAGTTCAGGCTTTATTGAGAGGAAAGAGCCTCCGGGCGGGCCAGCCGGGACGAAAAGGAAAAATGGCCGCCCTGCTCAGAGGGGCAGGGTTGTTTTATAGGGGGCTGAAGGGCTGGGGGGTGGGGAAGCCAAAAGCCGAGGTGGTGGGCAACTGTTGGTCAGTTTGAACTGCTGGGCGGGAAGCTGGGCGGCGGGAGGGCTAGGGCTGGTATGTAAAGTGAGAGATAAGGGAGCCTCTTTGTGGGGGAGGGAAAGAGAGAGAGATTTTGCGGTAGGGGCAGAGTTTTCCAAACAGAAAGCTTTTTAGAATATTTGTTTTACAAACAAAAGGGTACAGTGCTTCCTCTGTTATTTCCAAATGAGCTAATAGACTTAGAAAAAGTGCCTCGAATTCAAGTTATTTTAGACCATGAGGTGACACACCAAGGATGACCGGAGAAGTACCATAGAACAAATCTAGCTCCCAGTGACCTTTGAGCTGCCACACATACTCGGGACTCCCAAATTCTAGCCTTCCTCTTCATTTGTTTAAGCCAAAAATGGAAATGGCCAATTTAGTGATAGCCGTCACTTTTTAAAAGTATCCTTTTTGTATCCTATCCTTTCTGTCCAATATATTTCATTTTATAATACAGTAGCTGTTTGTATTTCCTTGAGTCTGCAGGGTACACTTGAAACTAGCAAGTCACCACAGTTTCCGTGCTGAAGACTGGTAACTCATTCTGTCAGGTTTGCAGGAGGTTGTTGCAGGTGACTCTGATTAAAGGTCAAGACCACTTGTAAAGTCGACAGTCTCAAATTTTGAACTTTGCAATTTAGAAGGTTAAGCCCTTCTCACCTCTCTCTCATCCGACCATTTAATCTTGTACTACATCATTTTTACTCTCGCAAATGGCATATTAGTCTACTCGATGGGTTATAGCGAATATTTACTGAGCGTCTGTTTTGTGTAAAGCGTCGTCCTGAATACAGTGAAGTTTACAGATGGGTTGCGAAGTTTTTGATTCTTTTAGAAAGCAACCAGTTTATTGAATAGGGTGGAATATGTGGGGTACAAATGGGGAGTGGGTTTATTTTTTTCTGACCTTCAAACATTCACTGATAACTCTTTCATTCTTGCCCCATAGATAACCCTTTAGATCCCAAAAATTTTTAGTCCTTTTGGATATTTAAGGTTCATTTTCAGATAGGAAAAGAAAAATGAATACACTTAGGTCTAAATTAAGCCTTTTTTTCACATGTAATTCAGAGTTTTCCCTGGCTTCCCCAACCTCCCAAGGCTCAGGCGCCCACAGTGGGCTTGGGGAATGTGATCTTTCTCTGACTGTCACTTTACTCTTTACCACATGGTAGTAAATGGCAACTTCATTTTAATCTGCCTTCTTAATTCCTGCCACTTTCCTCGTTGCTCATTTTTTTCCAGTTCCAGCGTCTTTCTTTCCATCCCAGAATATATTAAGCATGTTCCAGGAACCTTTGGATTTACTGTTCTTTCTGCTTAAAGCCCTTCCTTCCAGCTAGCTGCAGGGTTTACTCCCTCACTTTCAGGCCTCTGCTCAACTCAGGCCTCTGCTCAAATGTCAGCTTATTGGCAAGGCCTTCCCTTACAGTCTCAAGCGGCACATGTCCACAACCATCATTTCTGTACTCTGTTTTATTTTCCTCATCTCACTGTCTGCTAAATTATACTTCTGCTGTGAAGTTAGGTTCCCATTTTACCTTCCGCAGGTGCCTCCTATCTTTATGAGGGACGTTGGGGAGATAACACACTGTCTTAGTCCGTCTTCATACGGCCATAAAGAACTGCCTGAGACTGGGTAATCTGTGAAGGAAACAGGTTTCATTGACTCATGGTGCAGCATGGCTCAGAAGGTCTCAGGAAACTTTCAATCTTGGCAGAAGGCGAAGAAGCAGCAAAGCACTTTCTTCACAAGGCGGCATAAGGAGAAGTGCCAAGTAAAGGGGGAAGAGCCCTTTATAAAACCATCAGATCAGCCAGGCACTGTGGCTCATGCCTGTAATCCCAACACTTTGGGAGGCCAAGGCGGGCAGATCACCAGGTCAGGAGTTCGAGACCAGCCTGGCCAATATGGTGAAACCCCATCTCTATTACAAATATAAAAATTAGCCAGGTGTGGTGGAGGGCACCTGTAGTCCCAGCTACCTTGGAGGCTGAGGCAGGAGAATTGCTTGAACCCTGCAGGCAGAGGTTGCAGTGAGCCGAGATTGCACCACTGGACTCTAGCCTGGGCCACCCAGAGTGAGACTCCATCTCAAAAAACAAACCATCAGATCTCCTGAGAGCTCACTCACCAGCATGAGAACAGCTTCCTTTGACACATGGGGATTACAATTCAAGATGAGATTTGGGTGGGGACACGAAGACTAACCATATTACCTTTCTTCCCTGTATGGCGAGGGGTGAAAAAAGGCCAGCACATTCTTTACTCTTTTGAATTCCTGTTCTTATTGACTTTGGCATATAGAATCTGGAGGTAAGAGTTTTGTAAATACTAGACTGATCTGGCTTCTTATACTGAGTGACATGGATGTGTCAGGCACCTCCCTTTAGAATATGAGAATAATTGTCTCATTTTCAGCTTTGAGACTTAGGCTAAAATATAAAGAAAACAGAACTTCGTGCAGCATGCTGTAAATAAGAACCTTCCCAGAAATAAAGCTAGCATGATTTAATTGTCACAAAGAGAACACTTGAATTTAAGATAACCATTATGATATGACAGATGGCTTCATGAATTCAGGATGTCCAATTTTTAAGAAATAGGATCTGAGGTATTTACACAGATCAAAAGCAATATAAAATTTGTTATGCAGTTACCATGGTGGAAATCTGTTGTTTCTTGCTGTCTAGCATTCACTCCTCCTCCTTGGACTATAACCCTTTAGCCACAGTGAATGTTCGTTAATGGATATGTGACCAAAACTGGTCCAGTTAGAATGAGTCCTTGACATTGACTGGACAGGAATCTGGAAGATACATGTCTGGTGTTGCTGGGGCCATCACATGGAGAGAAGCTGCCTTTGAGTAAAGCAATGAAGAGGAAAGGGCTTGTAAGATGAAAAAGGCCAAGACCAAGGTCCAGTGGCACTGGCCCTGGATCCGGTCATGACTGAAGTCACTGCTTAGACTTGTACTTAAATAAGTCCATTAACTTCCCTTTTTTTTTTTTTTTTTTTTTTTTTTAAGCCAGGTGACTTGGCTTTTCGTCACATGTAACCCAGCGGTCCTGGCCGTTGCTGTGCGTGCCACTTCTCAACTTGAACTGTTGCCTGCGGTGCATTGTCATCAGAATGCCTATGTTCTTGGCACATTTTCTCAAGGTGGACTTACGCCGGTAAGTGTTGATAATTGAAAGAATTTATTAGTGTCCTATTCTGGGATTCTCCTGGCTACTGGACACAATAAAAGAAATATAGTTAATTGTTGTGACAAATTCAGCAATGTTATATTTGGAGGCATGGTTATGTTTGTGATTCTGAATTTTACTGTTCTGTATATGTGGCTGAAGAAATTTTCTTATTCATTTTCCTTAATAATCCAATATAGCAGGTTTGGCCGGGTGCGGTGGCTGACACCTATAATCCTAGCACTTTCGGAGACTGAGGTGGGTGGATCATTTGAGGTCAGGAGTTTGAGACCAGCCTGACCAATATGGTGAAAACTCATCTCTACTAAAAATGCAAAAGAATTAGCTGGGCATGGTGGCACATTCCTGTAGTCCCAGCTACTCAGGAGTCTGAGGCAGGTGAATCACTTGAACCCAGGAGGTGGAGGCTGCAGTGAGCCGAGATCATGACACTGCACTACAGCCTGGGCAACAGAACGAGACTCTGTCAAAAAAAAAAGAGGCAGGTTCACTTTATGTATGTATGTATGTATGTATATATTTAGAGACAGGGCCTGACTCTGTCACCAGGCTGGGGTGCAGTGGCACAATCTTGGCTCACTGCAGCCTCCCTCACCTGGGCTCAAACTACCTTCCACCTGAGCCTCCGAGTAGCTGGGATCACAGGTGCACACCACCATGCCTGGCTAATATTTGTATTTTTTTTTAAATAGGGGTTTCACCATGGTTTCCAACTCTTATGCTCAAGTGATCCACCTGCCTCGGCCTCCCAAACTGCTGGGATTACAGGCATAAGCCACCATGCCTAGCCTACATTAATTTTAGTTGTCGTTTTTGCTAGTCTTTATAAAATATGTGACTACCCTTATTAATCTTTTATGTTCTGATATATGTTATATACATAACTCTGAAGGTGTTAAAAGTGTTTTCTTTTACAGAACCCAAAGTCCTTCCACATTAAAAAGAATGTGTTCCTCCTAGAGCCTGAAACATAGTTCTCTAGTAAAAAGAGTTCTAAAGTCATAGCCCAGTCAAAGTCATTGTCGTCTGTGAGAATTCTTGGCAATGCTGCTATTGGGAACATTTTCTGGAAGAAATCAGAAATTATCACTAATACTGTGACTTTATACATCTACCAAAGTTCTGACATTTTTTTTGACAGTTGTGCCTTTAGTCGCTTTATTTCATTAAAAATATACTTGTTTTAAAGATCCTATAAATAACCACCCACTGATGTGGGATATAGGTCACCTCTCAGTGTGGTATTTTTTTTTTTTTTTAATTTAAAGCAGTATTTCTTTTTTCTTTTTCCTTTTTTTTTTTTTTTGGTCACAGAAGACTCTGTGACCAGGCGCCAGGCTGGAGTGCAATGTAGGAGCCTTATTGACCACATAGTAGTTACAAGAATGTCAGATGTGATGATGACATATACAATCTAAACCAGACAGGCTGATTAAGAATTTACATAGCCCGGCGTGGTAGCTCATGCCTGTAATCCCAGCACTTTGGGAGGCTAAGGTGGGTGGATTACCTGAGGTTGGGAGTTTGAGACCAGCCTGACTAATATGGAGAAACCCTGTCTCTACTAAAAATACAAAATTAGCTGGATGTGGTGGTGGGCACCGGTAATCCCAGCTCTTGGGAGGCTGAGGCAGGAGAACACATGAACCCAGGAGGTGGAGGTTGCAGTGAGTGGAGCTTGTGCCATTACAGTGCAGCCTGGGCCACAGTACGAGATACTACCTCAGAAAAAAAAAGAATTTACATAATGTCAGCTAGGCATGGTGGCTCATGCCTGTAATCCCAGCACTTTGGGAAGCCGAGGCAGGTGGATCACCTGAGGTTGGAGTTTGAGACCAGCCTGACCAACCTGGAGAAACCTTGTGTCTACTAAAAATACA